GATGGAAAAATTATTTATAAAATAAGTTCAGGGAAGTTAGGACCTTAGTATAGTATAAGTGTGTCTCTGAGATTTCGGACATAGGCTAGGGGATACTTGTGCATTTTCCCTTAAATTTAATGTTAAAAGGTCACAATTTAAACTTACTAAGTGAATTTGTTTTTCGAAATAACCTTTAGTGTCAATTATATAAGTTTTCCTATAAAAAATTATATTCACTTTTAATTATAGATTTAATGTCTTTATGCATATTATATTGTGTTCATCATCTCGCTTTTTGCCTTTTAACATAACTAATTTTGGAAGCATGTATTGCACGTTTGACCTCTATTACGATGTAATATTTATATAGGCCTAACTCATGTATAAAAAAAAATTGTAATATCCACTTAATCAACTTAAAAAATAATAAATATACATGTCATCATATGCATACAAAATGAAAATGGTTAAACTAAGAAATACATTAATTAGAATTATAAGATGATAAAATACAAAAGTATAGTGGACTAAATTTTTTTGTCTAGTTTATTAAGGAAGAAATTGTGTACATCAAAAGTTGTGAGTGAATGCAAAAGTTTCGGAGAAAAAAGTTAAATAGCTGATTTTGAAGATGGATATGGTTTTGCTGACGAAATGGAATAAAAATGTTGTGATAAAAGTACCTCCTATTTTTTGCTAAAAGATGAAGACTGAAAAATGAATGAGGAAGAACATAAGAATTATTATGGAAATGTATTGGAAAACATAAAAGAAAAGACATTTATTTCATTAGAAGTAAAAGAGGAAATCAATTCAAATTAATATAAAAGGGGAAAAGGTATAAGTACTCCCTAGACTATGGCCCAAATCTAGGAGACATACCTTAACTAAGATCATATTACCCCCTTTAACTTATTTTATAGATAATTTTGTACACCTTTTAGTCTTACGTAGCATCAAAGTTTCTCTCACGAGCCTCAATTGCGTAGAATCGCGGAGTGTGCCACGTAGGCCAAAAGGTGCACAAAATTATATATAAAATGTGTTCGGAATGGTAATAGGACCGTACTTTAATTAAGGTGTATCTCTGAGATTTCGGTCATAGCCTAGGAGTACTTTTGCCTTCTCTCATATAAAAGAATGATTTGTATATTCATCTACTAAGGCTCTAAAACTCCCATTTTTCTATTGGTTTGTATTTACTATTTTGTATCTACCAAATCAATTGATATTGTTTTCTCAATGCATATTTGATCTTTTGTATCAGTACCACTAGAAAAGAAGTTTCCAGTCTAAGGAACAAACGTATGATCTGTAAAACTTTCTGTGGACCATTCTGACCAATCGTAGACCAAGTAATGAAACCTTAAATATCATCCAAGTTCAACGAGACCTTTATATGGGTCGTAGGACTTCCTACTGTCGATAGACCCAAACTGTATAACTCAAATTTAACCCTAAAATGTCACTAAGTCTGGAACCTTTCTAAGCGTCACATTCAACTGAACGTCCTGGTCAATCGTCGCATGAGTTACTAGGACATCTAATTTTCCAAAACTTGACCCACTTCCTACAGACGCACTCTATGATCTATAGGATGCGTTACACTTGGTTATGCATTACCACATTCACATTAATTAATGTTTATTAATGTTCCTCATACTCTATACACTCAAAGTATTGAAACATATATCGATTGTACATATATTGTCTCATGATAGATGATACGATGTTCCTTCATCCAACTGTAGCTAGTTGGATTGTTCCATTTTCTTTTGGGTTTTGTGAGTTCTGATGCCTCGAGGGAACATCCATTATTAGTCTTTCATTACTTTTCAGTCATTTTGTTTCAATTTTCTTTCATAAGCTAGGGTTTTTTCCTAGTCACATCTATGCCATAGAGGCTTGTTAGATTTAACATGTATTCCATATTATTTTTAGGTTTTGTTAAGATTCTCTTATGTTGTGACTTTATCTTGAGATTGCACTTACCTTTATGATTCATTTCATATTGTATTATTTCTTATCATCGTGTCACACTTGTGTCAAGTGGCTTATTTAGGGTTTCTAGGGGTCCTATTCACTACGTCATGTCTAGGGGATAGCTTGAGTGGTGACAATGTGACTCACCTTTGAGTATCATTTTCAATATACACAAGCTTCACTTTTCTTCTTGGCATGGCTAATGAGAAGGAAGAGGAAAATTGTATATATTTGGATGGGTATCAAAAGACTATTATTGTTCTTATTTGTTTCCCTGTCCAGGATACTCTCCATTTTATGAGGAAAATTTAGATCCTATAAATCTTTGAGTAGTTTAAAATGAAGAATTTCTAGTTTTCTATAGTAATTATTTTTAGGTGAAACTAAAATTTTTTTTCTTTTAATTTTAATTTTTCATGTTCCATTTTTCAAAAGTCAATTTTATTAATTTTAAAGTGAAATTAGATTAAATTTATTTGATATGTTAAAATAAAAAATTTAGATATTCAAAAACTGTACGAAAAATAATATAAATAGCATTTTTTTTACATATTCAATATGATGAAAAAATACATTATAAAATGTTAGTCAAAGTATTATCATTTGACTAAAAAAAAACTATGATAATTAAAATGGGCGATGATAGTAAGTGTGTATTACACTTGATGTTATGATCTTAAAATGTATGTAGTTTATGGATATTTGTTATCTTAGACAATGTTTTATGAGTTAATTTTTGTAATCAGAGAATAATTTTGTGTGGCTTATATTTAAATAAGTAGGATTCGTCATATATGGGCGACCATCCAAAATAAATTTCCTTTCCAAAGGATAGATGATCTTTTCGACCATCTTCAGGGTGCTTCCTACATCTCGAGAATCGATCTCAAATCAGAGTACCATCAGTTGAAAGTTAGGGAATGTGATCTTCCAAAGAAAGCTTTTAGAACAAGATATGGGCATTACGAGTTTTAGTTATGTCCTTTGGTTTGACCAATGCGCCTGCAGCATTGATGGATCTTATGAACAGAGTCTTCAAACCTTATTTAGATGTGCTTGTCATCGTATTCATTGATGACATACTTGTTTACTCAAGGAACGAAGAAGATCATGCTAGTCACCTCACAATAGTCATGCACACTTCGAAAGATAAGGAGTTATATGCCTAGTTTTCCAAGTGTGAGTTTTGGTTCAAGTTTGTAGCATTCTTGGGCCACAATGTTTCTGGTGATGGGATTAGAGTTGATACCCAAAAGATAAAAGTAGTTCAGAGTTGGCCTAGACCCAGATCTCCAACTAATATAAGGAGTTTCTTTGGTTTGGCTAGCTATTATAGGAGATTTGTTGAAAATTTTCATATATCTAGTCTCATTTGACCAAGCTAACTTAGAAGACAATCAAGTTTCAATGGTCTGAAACTTGTGAGAAAAGCTTTCGGAAGTTGAAAAAGAGATTCATTACCGCTACGGTTTTGACCTTACCAGAGGGTACTCAAGGTTTTGTGGTGTACTGTGATGCATCGAGAGTTGGTTTGAGTTGTGTGTTCATACAAAATTGCAAGGGTATAGCTTATAGCTCCAGACAGTTGAAAGCTCATGAGAAGAATTATTCAACTCATAATTTAGAATTGGTTGCAGTTACTTTTGCTTTGAAGATATGGCGTCACTACTTGTATGGTTTTCATGTTGACATATTCACTGATCACAAAAGCCTCCAATACAAATTTATATTTTAGGAGTGAACAAATCATTATAGACAATTAACTTATATATAAATATCATATTTCTTAATTTATTAAAGCTATAAAAGTTATTAATTTTGTAATATAACCATATTTTTTTTCAATAAATGGATATTAAATACTCCCTATGCCCCTAATTAATTGTTCACTTTTGATTTGACACATCTATTTTGAAAAAACATTATTGACATATATGGTGACTCCACCATTTTATCGTATTAGTTATGAAGTGGATGAATTAAATATTTAATATTTTTTAAAATTTCTACCTATTTTCAAAGTAATTATTTGAGGGTATATTATGAATTTTTTTTTATTCCTTTCTTAATTTGTCAAAATAGATAAGTAATTATGAACAACTATAAAAGTAATAGTGAAAAAGTAAATAGGGACAAAGGGAGTAGGTCTTTTCGATAATCTTCCTTATTACTTTAACTAATTTTATTTTTTGATAACTTATTAGTGTACATTGATTTTTTAGATTTTGAATGGTGCTGGATATCATTTTTAGAAATCATACTAACAATACAAATATTTTTAATAACCACAATATAAATAATAAAAGTAATCAAGACAAACCAATATTCATATAAAATTAATTGCATACATATTATAAGTGAATGTAATAACAAACTAAAAAGGAATAACACATAATTGAAAAACACGTAAAAATAAGGACAAAAAGTAAAGATATATGAAGAATCCTATAAGACTACTTATGCATTTAAATATTAAAAGACATAGACTATCCATTGGACAACATAGACATACCAATCTCTACTAATTAAAACAGACAGATATTTGGTCCAACATCCTTAGAAGTTATTTTTTCGGTTTGGATCTTGAACATCAATGTTGTTGAGATATGAATCATCAAAAAAAGACATAATACTATTATTATCCCAGTCAATTGATTATGATGAAGCTGACCTTTGTGGAAATCCAACAGAATTGTTCTGATAGTTTGCAGAGTTGTTCATCGAAGAGTCTTGTGGTAGTAACGAAGCAGCGGTTGAAGACTCCAATATTGATGAATTTGTTGAAAAATTCGTTATTGAAGGTATTGGAGGAGCCATTATAGGGGTCCTTCGAAGATCCATTTGTTGATGTGTAGAAGAATGCATCTGCGGAACCAACGAAAGAAATAATTTAACTGAAAATAACGAATAAGGAGAAATCCATGAGGGGTCCACAAAAGGAACCATTTGAGGAGGATTCACTGGAAGAAATAATTGTTGGATCATTTCTGCAGAAGGAGATGAAGGAATTATTAGTGGAGCCCCTTTATCTTTTATTATTTGAGCCACTTCAGGGACCATTGAGGAGATCTTGGACCCTCGCGGTTGGTTCCACTAGAAACTATCGATGGAGAAGCTAAAGGAACAGTCGATACTGGAGAATCACTAGAAATTGGTTGAGAGGCATACAAAGTGGAACCCTCTTCATCAACTTTAATTTTCAACTTGCGAAACATTTCCAAGTTTCTTTTCATGGCATACATTAGATCATTAAGATCATTACCATTTATGTCCTTGGAAATATTTTTTCCTCTTGCCACTTCATGCATCATATTGGTCTTTTCTTTGAGATCGTTTTCTCTCTGTAACTTGTATAATTGGTCTTTCTTCTTATCTATAATTTTCTTAATAAACTCTTCTGTCGTCATCATGTGTTTTGACTGAGCGGATGATGAAAGTGCCTTAAACTTATTATAAGTGTCTAGTGCAGCTTGATAATTTGGATATACCACAGGTTCTGTGTGGTACTCACTATATCTGACGCTAGCTACTTCACAATCACAAAGAATACTAAGTTCTTGACCCTTTTTAAAGGCTACTTTTTGTCTCTTCTTATATGTGGCTCTTCTTTGAGTATCATTTTCAATCTTAACTTTTCTTCTTGACATAGCTAATGGGGAAGAAGAGAAGAAAAATTATGTTTGTTTGGATGTGTATAAAAAACTTTTGTTGTTTGTTTTCTTGCTTAGGATAGACTCCATTTTATACAGAAAATTCAGATTCTATGTATCTTTGAATATTTTGACTAAAAAAATTACTAGTTGTTTGTAATAATTATTTTTGACTAAAACTAAATAAGGATGTATTACATACCAAGTTTGATGTTATGGTTTGAAAATATATGTAATTTATATATCTGGTCTTATCTTGACCAAGTTTTATGCGTCAAACTTTTACAGGAGAATAATTTAGTGTGGCTTAAATTTTCAGTAAGTAGAATCCACCAAATATGGTCATAGAGTAATAAAAATGCATTTGCATACTCATTTATGTTATATGTTTTTAAAAATATGTATTTTAATTTTGATATTTGTACAAAGTTAAGTATTAAAACAATCATACATTTAAATGACTGAGAACTTTGCAATACCAATTTAAATAATATTTTAACGGGAAAAAATACGACAAAGTTAATTGTTATAACAAAAAGAAATTCAAACATTTAATAAATTTTTAATTGTGATTTGTGTAAGATTAGAGTTATTGTAACTATTCTATAACACATTATAATTTTCTCTATTTAGCAAAAATGCATATATTTAATAGAAATATAACATTGCTTTTCAATATATTAAAATTGAATTTTTTCTTAAATTTGGTTTTCTTTTCGGTACGATACTCATCGAGAAGTCACTCAACTTCTTATTATAAAATCTAAATTATTTTAATGAAAATCATACTAACAATACAAATATTTTTTATAACCACAATATCAATAATAAAAGTAATCAAGACAAACCAATATTCATATAAAAATTAATTGCATACATATTATAAGTGAATGTAATAACAAACTAAAAAGGAATAAAACATAATAGAAAAACACTTTAAAATAAGGACAAAAAATAAAGATATATGAAGAATCCTATGAGACTACTTATGCATTGAAATATTAAAAGACATAGACTATACATTGGAAAACATAGACATACCAATCTATGCTAAATAAAATAGACAGATATTTGGTCCAACATCCTTAGAAGTTATTTTTTTGGTTTGGATCTTGAACATCAATGTTGTTGAGATATGAATCATCAAAAAAAGACATAATACTATTATTATCCCAGTTGTTTGATTATGACGAAACTGACCTTTATGGAAATCCAACAGACTTGTTCTGATAGTTTGCAGAGTTGTTCATCGAAGAGTCTTGTGGTAGTAACAAAGCAGCAGTTGAAGACTCCAATATTGGTGAATTCATTGAAAAAGTCGTTATTGAAGGTATTGGCGGATCCATTATAGGGGTCCTTCTAAGATCCATTTGTTGATGTGTAGAAGAATGCATCTTCGGAACCAACGGAGCAAATAATTCTGCTGAAAATAACGAATAAGGAGAAATCCATGAGGGGTCCACAAAAGGAACCATTTGAGGAGGATTCACTGTATGAAATAATTGTTGGATCATTTCAGCAGAAGGAGATGAAGGAATTATTAGTGGAGCCCCTTTATCTTCTATTATTTGAGCCACTTCAGGGACCATTAGAGGAGATCTAGGACCCTCGTATTCGGTTCCACGAGAAACTATCGATGGAGAAGCCAAAGGAACAGTCGATACTGGAGAATCACTAGAAATTGGTTGAGAGGCATACAAAGTAGAACCCTCTTCATCAGCTTTAATTTTCAGTTTGCGAAACATTTCCAAGTTTCTTTTCATGGCATACATTAGATCATTAATATCATTACCATTTATGTACTTGGAAATCTTTTTTCCTCTTGCCACTTCATGCCTCATATTTGTCTTTTCTTTGAGATCGTTTTCTATCTGTAACTTGTATAATTGGTCTTTCTTCTTATCTATATTTTTCTTAATAAACTCTTCTGTCGTCATCATGTGTTTTGACTGAGCGGATGATGAAAGTGCCTTAAACTTATTATAAGTGTCTAGTTCAGCTTGATAATTTGGATATACCATAGGTTCTGTGTGGTAGTCACTATATCTGACGCTAGCTACTTCCTAATTACAAAGAATACTAAGTTCTTGAGCCTTTTTATAGGCTACTTTATGTCTCTTCTTATATGTGGATCTCCTTTGAGTATCATTTTCAATTCTTGAGCCTTTTTATAGGCTACTTTATGTCTCTTCATATATGTGGCTCTCCTTTGAGTATCATTTTCAATCTTAACTTCTCTTCTTGGCATTGCTAATGGGGAAGAAGAGAAGAATAATTATGTTTGTTTGGATGTGTATCAAAAACTTTTGTTGTTTGTTTTCTTGCTTAGGATAGACTCCATTTTATACAGAAAATTCAGATTCTATGTATCTTTGAATATTTTGACTAAAAGAATTACTAGTTGTTTGTAATAATTATTTTTGACTAAAACTAAATAAGATGTATTACATACCAAGTTTGATGTTATGGTTTGAAAATATATGTAATTGATATATTTGGTCTTATCTTGATCAAGCTTTATGCGTCAAACTTTTACAGGAGAATAATTTAGTGTGGCTTAAATTTTCAGTAAGTAGAATCCACCAAATATGGTCATAGAGTAATGAAAATGCATTTGCTTACTCATTTATGTTATAAGTTTTTAAAAATTTGTATTTTAATTTTGATATTTGTACAAAGTGATATTTAAAACAATCATACATTTAAATGACTGAGAACTTTGCAATACTAATTTCAATAATATTTTAACGTGCAAAAAAATGACAAAGTTATTTATTATATCAAAAAGAAATTCAAACATTTATTAAATTTTAAATTGTGATTTGTAAAAAATTAGGGTTATTGTAACTATTCTATAACACATTATAAATTTCTCTATTTAGCAAAAATGCATATTTAATAGAAATATAACATTGCTTTTCAATATATTAAAATTTATTTTTTTCTTAAATTTGATTTTCTTTTCAGTACGATACTCATCGAGAAGTCACTCAACTTCTTATTAAAAAAATCTAAATTATTTTTAGGCAAATCATACTAACAATACAAATATTTTTAATAACCACATTATCAATAATAAAAGTAAGCAAGACAAACCAATATTCATATAAAAATTAATTGCATACATATTATAAGTGAATGTAATAACAAACTATGAAGGAATAAAACATAATAGAAAAACACTTAAAAATAAGAACAAAAAGTAAAGACATATGAGGAATCCTATGAGACTACTTATGCGTTTAAATATTAAAAGACACAGATTATCTATTGGACAACATAGACATACCAATCTCTACTAGCTAAAACAGACAGATATTTGGTCCAACTTCCTTAGAAGTTATTTTTTTTGGTTTGGATCTTGAACATCAATGTTTTTGAGATATGAATCATCAAAAAAAGAAATAATACTATTATTATCCTAGTCGATTGATTATGACGAAGCTGACCTTTGTGGAAATCCAACAGACTTGTTCTAATAGTTTGCAAAGTTGTTCATCGAAGAGTCTTGTGGTAATAACGAAGCAGCGGTTGAAGACTCCAATATTGGTGAATTCGTTGAAAAAGTCGTTATTGAAGGTAGTGGCGGATCCATTATAGGGGTCCTTCTAAGATCTATTTGTTGATGTGTACAAGAATGCATCTGCGAAACCAACGGAGGAAATAATTCTGCTGAAAATAACGAATAAGAAGAAATCCATGAGGGGTCCACAAAAGGAACCATTTGAGGAGGATTCACTGGATGAAATAATTGTTGGATCATTTCAGTAGAAGGAGATGAAGGAATTATTAGTGGAGCCCCTTTATCTTCTATTACTTGAGCCACTTCAGGGACCATTAGAGGAGATCTTGGACCTTCGCGGTCGGTTCCACTAGAAACAATCGATGGAGAAGCCAAAGGAACAGTCGATACTGGAGAATCACTAGAAATTGGTTGAGAGGCATACAAAGTAGAACCCTCTTCATCAACTTTAATTTTCAGTTTGCGAAACATTTCCAAGTTTCTTTTCATGGCATACATTAGATCATTACCATTTATGTCCTTGGAAATCTTTTTTCCTCTTGCCACTTCATGCATCATATTTGTCTTTTCTTTGAGATCGTTTTCTCTCTGTAACTTGTATAATTGGTCTTTCTTCTTATCTATAATTTTCTTAATAAACTCTTCTGTCATCATCATGTGTTTTAACTGAGCGGATGATGAAAGTTCCTTAAACTTATTATAAGTGTCTAGTGCAACTTGATAATTTGGATATACCACTGGTTCTGTGTGGTACTCACTATATTTGATGCTAGCTACTTTACAATCACAAAGAATACTAAGTTCTTGAGCCTTTTTATAGGCAACTTTTTGTCTCTTCTTATATGTGGCTCTCCTTTGAGTATCATTTTCAATCTTAACTTTTATTCTTGGCATTGCTAATGGGGAAGAAGAGAAGAAAAATTATGTTTGTTTGTATGTGTATCAAAAACTTTTGTTGTTTGTTTTCTCGCTTCGGATAGACTCCATTTTATACAGAAAATTCAGATTCTATGTATCTTTGAATATTTTGACTAAAAGAATTACTAGTTGTTTCTAATAATTATTTTTGACTAAAACTAAATGAGGATGTATTATATACAAAGTTTGATGTTATGGTTTGAAAATATATGTTAATTTATATATCTGTTCTTATCTTGACTAAGCTCTATGCGTCAAACTTTTACAAGAGGATAATTTAGTGTGGCTTAAATTTTCAGTAAGTAGAATCCACCAAATATGGTCATAGAGTAATGAAAATGCATTTGCTTACTCATTTATGTTATAAGTTATTAAAAATATGTATTTTAATTTTGATATTTGTACAAAGTTAAATACTAAAACAATCATACATTTAAATGACTGAGAACTTTTTAATACCAATTTCAATAATATTTTAGCGTGCAAAAAAATGATAAAGTTAATTGTTATATCAAAAAGAAATTCAAACATTTAATAAATTTTAAATTGTGATTTGTGTAAGATTAGAGTTATTGTAACTATTCTATAACATATTATAATTTTCTCTATTTAGCAAAAATGCATATTCAATATATTAAATTTTAATTTTTTCTTCAATTTGGTTTTCTTTTCAGTACGATACTCATCGAGAAGTCACTCAACTTCTTATTAAAAAAATTTATATTATTTTGAGGCAAATCATACTAACAATACAAATATTTTTAATAACCACATTATCAATAATAAAAGTAAGCAAGACAAACCAATATTCATATAAAAATTAATTGCATACATATTATAAGTGAATCTAATAACAAACTAAAAAGGAATAAAACATAATAGAAAAACACTTAAAAATAAGAACAAAAAGTAAAGACATATGAGGAATCATATGAGACTACTTATGCATTTAAATATTAAAAGACATAGATTATCCATTGGACAACATAGACATACCAATCTCTACTAGCTAAAACAGACAGATATTTGGTCCAACATCCTTAGAAGTTATTTTTTTGGTTTGGATCTTGAACATCAATGTTTTTGAGATAAGAATCATAAAAAAAAGACTTAATACAATTATTATCCCAATTGATTGATTATGACGAAGCTGACCTTTGTGGAAATCCAACAGACTTGTTCTGATAGTTTGCAGAGTTGTTCATCGAAGAGTCTTGTGGTAGTAACGAAGCAGCGGTTGAAGACTTCAATATTGGTGAATTCGTTGAAAAAGTCGTTATTGAAGGTATAGGAGGATCCATTATAGGGGTCCTTCTAAGATCCATTTGTTGATGTGTAGAAGAATGCATCTGCGGAACCAACGGAGGAAATAATTCTGCTGAAAATAACGAATAAGGAGAAATCCATGAGGAGTCCACAAAAGGAACCATTTGAGGAGGATTCACTGGATGAAATTATTGTTGGATCATTTCAGTAGAAGGAGATGAAGGAATTATTAGTGGAGCCCCTTTATCTTCTATTATTTGAGCCACTTCAGGGACCATTAGAGGAGATCTTTGACCCTCGCAGTCAGTTCCACTAGAAACTATCGATGGAGAAGCCAAAGGAACAGTCGCTACTGGAGAATCACTAGAAATTGGTTGAGAGGCATACAAAGTAGAACCCTCTTCATCAGCTTTAATTTTCAGTTTGCGAAACATTTCCAAATTTCTTTTTATGGCATACATTAGATCATTAAGATCATTACCATTTATGTCCTTGGAAATATTTTTTCCTCTTGCCACTTCATGCATCATATTTGTCTTTTCTTTGAGATCGTTTTCTCTTTGTAACTTGTATAATTGGTCTTTCTTCTTATCTATAATTTTCTTAATAAACTCTTCTGTCGTCATCATGTGTTTTGACTGAGCGGATGATGAAAGTGCCTTAAACTTATTATAAGTGTCTAGTGCAGCTTGATAATTTGGATATACCACAGGTTCTGTGTGGTACTCACTATATCTGACGCTAGCTACTTCACAATCACAAAGAATACTAAGTTCTTGAGCCTTTTTAAACGCTACTTTTGTCTCTTCTTATATGTGGCTCTCCTTTGTGTATCATTTTCAATCTTAACTTTTCTTCTTGGCATTGCTAATGGGGAAGAAGAGAAGAAAAATTATGTTTGTTTGAATGTGTATCAAAAACTTTTGTTGTTAGTTTTGTTTCTTAGGATAGACTCTATTTTATACAGAAAATTCAGATTCTATGATTCTTTGAATATTTTGACTAAAAGAATTGCTAGTTGTTTGTAATAATTATTTTTGACTAAAACTAAATAAGATGTATTACATACCAAGTTTGATGTTATGGTTTGAAAATACATGTAATTAATATATCTGGTCTTATCTTGACCAAACTTTATGCGTCAAACTTTTACAGGAGAATAATTTAGTGTGGCTTAAATTTTCAGTAAGTAGAATCCACCAAATATGGTCATAGAGTAATGAAAATGCATTTGCTTACTCATTTATGTTATAAGTTTTTAAAAATTTGTATTTTAATTTTGATATTTGTACAAAGTTAAATACTAAAACAATCATACATTTAAATGACTGAGAACTTTGCAATACCAATTTCATTAATATTTTAGCTTGCAAAAAAAGGATAAGGTTAATTGTTATATCAAAAAGAAATTCAAACATTTAATAAATTTTAAATTGTGATTTGTGTAAGATTAGAGTTATTGTAACTATTCTATAACACATTATAATTTTCTCTATTTAGCAAAATTGCATATTTAATAGAAATATAACATTGCTTTTCAATATATTAAAATTTAATTTTTTCTTAAATTTGGTTTTCTTTTCGATACAATACTCATCGAGAAGTCACTCAACTTCTTATTCAAAAAATCTAAATTATTTTGAGGCAAATCATACTAACAAAAAAAATATTTTAAATAACCACATTATCAATAATAATAGTAAGCAAGACAAACCAATATTCATATAAATATTAATTGCATAGATATTATAAGTGAATGTAATAACAAACTAAAAAGGAATAAAAATTAATAGAAAAACACTTAAAATAAGGACAAAAAGTAAAGATATATGAAAAATCCTATGAGACTACATATGCATTTAAATATTAAAAGACATAGATTATCCATTGGACAACATAGACATACCAATCTCTACTAGTTAAAATAGACAGATATTTGGTCCAACATCCTTAGAAGTTATTTTTTTTAATTGAATCTTGAACATCAATGTTGTTGAGATATGAATCATCAAAAAAAGACATAATACTATTATTATCCCAGTCGATTGATTATGACAAAGCTGACCTTTGTGGAAATCCAACAGACTTGTTTTGATAGTTTGCAGAGTTGTTCATCGAAGAGTCTTATGGTAGTAATGAAGCAGCGGTTGAAGACTCCAATATTGGTGAATTCGTTGAAAAAGTCGTTATTGAAGGTATTGGAGGATCCATTTTAGGGGTCCTTCTAAGATCCATTTGTTGATGTGTAGAAGAATGCATCTGCGGAACCAAATGAGGAAATAATTCTGCTGAAAATAACGAATAAGGAGAAATCCATGAGGAGTCCATAAAAGGAACCATTTGAGGAGGATTCACTGGATGAAATAATTTTTGGATCATTTCAGCAGAAGGAGATGAAAGAATTATTAGTGGAGCCCCTTTATCCTCTATTATTTGAGTCACTTCAGGGACCATTAGAGGAGATCTTGGACCCTCGCGGTCGATTCCAATAGAAACTATCGATGGAGAAGCCAAAGGAACAGTTGATACAGGAGAATCAGTAGAAATTGGTTGAGAGGCATACAAAGTAGAACCCTCTTCATCAGCTTTAATTTTCAGTTTGCGAAATATTTCCAAGTTTCTTTTCATGGCATACATTAGATCATTAAGATCATTACCATTTATGTCCTTGGAAATCTTTTTTCCTCTTACCACTTCATGCATCATATTTGTCTTTTCTTTGAGATCGTTTTCTCTGTGTAACTTGTCTAATTTGTCTTTCTTCTTATCTATAATTTTCTTAATAAACTCTTTGATAGAAAATAGCATACACAGCGGAAGTATTTCAGAATCATACATCTTTCATGAATATAAACAACAATCACAAATAGTCATCACATACAAAGTGTGCTGAAAATTAACTCAGGATTACCTCTTGCAGCGCGTGCAGATATATTGAAGTAATTCCAACTCCAGCTCTATAGTCTTCTACAGTGATCCCTATCAACAATTGAACTCTCTCAATACTTGGGTGGGCAAGTATTGTATAGAATACTGAATTAAATCTCTTTTTTAGGTTAGAATAATCCCTATTTATAGATATGTCTTCCTAGTCCAAAGAGAATTCTTTTTCTTTCAAGAAAAACAGGAAACACACGTTTCTTTTCTTTTTAGAGAAGAACACATTTTTTCTTCCCTTTTTTCTAGAAAATAAGATTCTTAGTTCTAGTTAAATTGGGCACTGGAGGGACCACAGAATTTATTACTGAGGCTTCCTATTATTAAAATAATTCTAAATAATTTATTTGAATTATTCTTACCATAAAAAATTACAAATCATTCCACTAAAAATCCGTAATTGAACTCCTCTATTTATTTCAAAATTTACCACTAAACACTTATTTGATTCCCCATGTTATGATTATAAATACTAATCAATAAATTAAATTACTGACGAATTTAATTCAATGATTAATTTCTTTTAGAGCAATACTTAACTTATTTCATGTGCCAGATTCATAAATCTACCGGCCGGGTTTACACATGAAAACTTATATGCTTCTCATAAAAGGTGTATCATCAATCTCTGTACTGAGACATGGATTCCATCAACTAACTAATTATTTCACCAATATATATTATTGTCATTTAATCTACCAGACATATTGACTTATCTCAGAATATCACCATTTAATAAATCAAAATGATAGTTAATATATACATATCATAATCGTCATATCAAGATTAAGAATATAAGTACATTTAATAGTTTAGAGAATATATTTTTATCAGTCAGTCTAAAACAACTATCTCTGCTTGGTCCCGTTTAATACATACCAAATGCACTAGCACGAGATGTTAGAACTATGTCATTCTCATAATCAAGATAAATTACATTTAATCTCGTGCGACAATATTTCTAATGGTTTTGTCCAAATTTCCATCTATGATTGTGAACTATAAATTTTAACTTATAAGAACCAATGATTTAATCTTCTGTGTATAAGCTTAAACTCTATATACCAAATCATCTACTATATAAGTTAAGGACACATATATGACAATTGATCTCTTTAATGTAACACTTTATTGAATTGAATAAATGAATAAATAATTGTTCAGTATTAATACTATATCAAACGCATGGTTAATAGTATATCCTAACAATCTTCCACTTAGACTCATAGCCATTCACCTACAACTCTAACACCCATTCCTTCAACATGTCTATAAAAAGACTTTTGCGGTAAAGCTTTTGTGAAAGGGTCTGCAAGGTTGTTCTCTGATGCAATATTCGCCACCATCACATCCCCTCTCTATAATATGTCTCAAATCAAATGGTATTTTCACTCAATGTGTTTTGCCTTCTTATGACTTCGTGGTTCTTTTGAATTTGCAACCGCTCCACTATTATCACAAAACATTGTAAGTGGCTTTTGTATTGCAGGAACAACCGCCAAGTCTTTAAGAAAGTTTCTGAGCCACACTGCCTCCTTAGCTGCTACATATTCGGCTTCCATGGTAGAATCAGAAACACAGGTTTGCTTGATGCTTCTCCAAACAATGGCTCCACCTCCCAAAGTAAACACATTTCCTGAGGTCGAATTTCTAGAGTCCATATCTGGCTGGAAATCTGAGTCTGTGTACATTATGGGAAACAACTCATCCGAATGATAGACTAGCATGTAATCCCTAGTCCTTTTCAGGTACTTGATTATATGCTTAAATGTTGTCCAATGTTCTCATCCAGGATTAGACTGATATCTGCTAACCATGCCTACGGCAAAACAAATATCAGGTCTAGTGCATAACATGGAATACATGAGACTTCCTACCGCTGATGCATAAGGAACTGTCTTCATGCTTTTTGTTTCCTCATCTATCTTAGGACATTGATCCTTAGATAAAGAAATTCCATGTCTAAAAGGAAGAAAACCTTTCTTGGAATTGTGCATGCTAAACCTGGTAAGAATTGTATCAATATAAAGAGCTTGAGATAAACCTAACATCCTTTTCTTGCGATCACGTAAAACGTTGATCCCAACTCCCAAGGATGTGAGCAACTTCTCCCAAATCCTTCATATCAAAGTTTGTGGACAACCATTTCTTAACTGAATTCATCAAGCCCACATTATTTCCTATGAGCAAGATATCATCTACATATAATACCAAAAACACCACTTTATCCCCATTCCACTTTTTGTACACACAAGACTCATCAAGACATTGCTCAAAACCAAAAGACTTGACTGCATTGTCGAAGCAAGTGTTCCATGCCCTAGAAGCTTGCTTTAATCCATAAATAGATCTTTTAAGCTTGCACAACATGTGTTCTTTTCCTTTTTCTATGAAACCATCTGGTTGTCGCATAAATATGCTTTCATCAAGACTTCCATTAAGGAAAGTTGTCTTGACATCCATTTGCCAAATTTCATAATCATAATGAGCAGAAATGGATAAGAGAACTTTAATAGACTTAAGCATGACTACTAACGAAAAATTTTCCTCATAGTCAATCCTTTCTTTCTGAGTAAACCCTTTTGCAATAAGTCTAGCTTTTTAAGTTTGCACTTGTCCATCTACTCCTCTCTTTTTCTTATATATCCACTTGCATCCAATGGGTTTGACTCCATCTACAGATGGTTCT